AAAATTAAATAACTTAAATTAAATTTAGTTGGGACGCGCATATATATATATATATATATATATATATATATATGAGTCGGCCAACTCACAGAAACCCCATCCTTATAAAAAAAAATACCCCTAAATACTCAAGAGGTATATTGATTCTTTACTATTTTAATTTTTTAAATATTTATTTTTGTAGATGTTAGATGGTGAGTTCAAATTTGATATGTCTATAATTCTTACTTCAAAAGTTTTTTAAAATAATTTAAAATAAATATAATTATAAAAAATACCCCTAAATACTGTCAGGGTACTTTGGTTTTTATTATTTTAGTATTTTAAATATCTATTTTAACGGATGTTTGATGGCGAGAAAGTATAGACATACCAAACTTGAGCTTAAACCGACGTATACAAAAAACAATAAAATTCAAATACATTTCATATTCTTAAAAGTGGGACTAAGAACTATTTTACATTTTAAAAATAAATGCAATGAAAGAGAGGAAAAACAAATCTCTACATAGAGTGATGATAAGTTTTTTTTTTTTCTCTTATTTTGAACAGTCAAGAGAGAATGATATGTTTTGGGAGAGTCTTCTAGGCTAATTCTGCCATGAACCAATAAATTTGCTCTTTCTGTGATGCATAGTAAACAAACAGCAATAACATGCTCCAAAACCAGTGGCTTTTGGCACCTCGATCTTCTAAAACAGGAGGAGTCATTCATGTACAAGAAATCCACTGTATAGGATCAATGCAAACAACATACACGTGGTTACGGGTGTCCCTGGTTTATGGGGACTGAGTCAAGATTCCAATAAATGTTAGCCCATGGTTTCATGGTTCCTGTGTGCAATGAAGAGAGAGAGAGAGAGATGGTCCACGCAAGGGCAGGCAGGAATAGCATCCGCCTTCCCCTGGTTTGGGGGCAAATTAGTAAACACTTCCTCATACTCATGGGGAAGATAATCGTGAAAACAAAAATAGTGAAAACAATTATGAGAGTGAAATCATAGTGAATAAAGGTTGTCCATTATAAGAAGGATGAAAAGTTTTATAAGTCCCAGCCTTTGTGAAAGCCTCACCTCGAATTCTCATCCGAAAGCAGTTTGCGCAGCATAAATTTTTATGATGGCTCTAAAATCAATTTTCAATGTCAATAATAAAATTTGAAACAGATCTCGTGGATCTATAAACATTTATTTTTAGAGCAAGATGGACAATTTTAATGATTTGTTAGAATATACACTACGTTTAGATTATGAAATTCTAATTTTTTTTTTCATAACCATAATTATAAAGCCGAGATAATCGATTTAAAGGTTTCCTAATGCTTGAATTGGAATTTTTGATGAGTTATAAGGTGAGAAGGGCTGCAGCCCTATCAAACCATTTTCCTTAAAAAGAAAAATAGGTGTTTTAATAATAATTTTTGTTGATTGCCTCATTACTACACATTTAAAAATAATAAGTTGCTTTTTTTTTTTTTTGAGTAATTCAGTAAGGATGACGAGTACCTATCTGTTTTTTAAATCGTTAGTGCTTTTTAATACATTAGGTGAGAATTGAAGCCTAGATCTTAATTAGGACACAAATATTGCTACCACCATGACTATAACTTGCCATATAAATAGTGCCTCACACATTTTGTGTAGGAATAGAAAAAACACAGGTTGTGTAGCAATCGCCCTTTGCAAACTATGAGTTTAGGTTTTGTTTATAAGTTCTTAAATCATCTCATGCTGGAGCAAGGATGATCGGATGTCAAATGTACTTTCTAAAATTGTTGGGTTTTTTTTTTTCATTAGTCAATGAATTTATCAATTGATATGCATTTCATAGCCAGATTTCAACAGTTATTTTATTTACTATAAAAACATATACCTGTATTTGTTAGTTAGACATTATTTAATTTTGGGTATGGTTTGTAAAAGGTTGCAGCCTAAAACAATCAAATTAAAGCACGCCTCCAAATTTTATCTTAAATATAATCTTGGTGTAAAAAATTATTAATATGGCTTGGGAATCTATTTTCATCTTTAAATATAAAATTCTAAACTCCCGAAATGGTTCAAATCAAGTAAATCTATAAATACTTGAAAATCTTGAAAATAGAGGGTCTAGATAATTTGTTGCAACATACACTATTTTTTGGACAAAATTTGTTTCCTTTCCATATTCATACATCTCGATGTCGAGATGATAAATTAGAGAGCTTTTCAACATCAAAACAATAGAATATGCTAGATTTTTGAGGTGCACCTTAATTCTACATTTTAGGTTGCAACCTTATATAAGTGTTTTTCTTTAATTTTTCGACATTAACAATTATTTAATTACTTTTTTCAACATGAAAACAAATATTTGGTGAAATTCTTGAGGGGTAACTGATAATAGCTGTTATTGCAGGACATTACATTGGGGTTTGACATTTGGAATAACTTTACCGAAAGGAACAAAATATTTAGTTTGGACTCCTGTGGGAGCAAATCTTATCTTACTCCCAAAGGCAGAACACTAATTTGGGAGGACCTTTTCTCATCTGAAACTGCGTAAAATACCTTGAGTTCAGCAGATGTATGGCTCAAAAAAAAAGAAAAAAAAGAGAAAAAGAAGAAAAAAAAAAGAAAAAAAAGAAAAGAATAAAAACAGATGACTTTGAACCCTAAAGAACCTCTATGTGACCAGATGAAGTTAACAATCATGTAGAATATTTTTAGGGCACAGTACCCCCTTTTATCTTAAGATTGATTCTTTTCGTAGATAAGAGAAATCTAGAAGTTTTAGGGCAAAAATTCTTTTGATAGATAAAGAAATCTAAAAGTATTACTATTAGGTCAAAAAGAAAATCCCCTAAGTAAGCTCCTTTGCTTGACTTTGGATTTGCAATGCCCAGCCCGGCCCTGATAGTGCCAAAAAGACCCTTGCCTATGCCGAACTGTTGCTCTATCAGGACCAGAGCGGCAAGGCAAGGGCGGGCCAAATGGAAAAAATGAAAAAAAAAAAGAAAAATATAAGAATAAAAGGGCCGGGCAGGGCTGAATCTTGCTCACCCTAGCCCGGGGAGATCCATACCAGCAAGCCATATTTTTAAATCTGTATCTGACCACCATTTTTACAGTCTTTTGTAAATTTCTCACACCAATCACGGTATGTTTAAGACAACAACATGGGCAACTTGTCAACAATTACAACAAAAATATCAATCAAATATTATGAATTTACAGAGAGGAACTACATATTCCTGTATTTCCAGAAAGTGACATTAGACAGGTTTCAGGCCCTCAGAAAGGAAGGTAAAACGATGGGTTTTTCTAAAATTATTAATTTATCATTGATTATCCGTGGTACCAATTGGGTCGAGATACCAATTGCGTAGCTTATGCAGGTTTTATTTCGTTAATAAGAGGTAGCAATGCAGGGCTGAGCCAAAATCATGTTTCAACAATCTCATAAACATGAGTCATTTTTATGTGTTTGGATGTCTATTGGTACGCGGCAAAACAATTGAAGGGCTACACTGAGTACTGAATATTCCGCTCTTTTGAGAGTGGAAACGAACCGAGAGAGAAGAAGAATCAAGGCCCAGCTATATGAATGATCAACTACACAAGGATTTACACTTTTTGGAGCTCGGTTCCGCAGTTGATGTGTTTTTGGTTACATTTTAAGCTCTTTACAGAGAAGCAGCGAGGATATACGCGTTAGTTGCCTCTCTTTCCACAGAAGCAACAGTTTGTCACTGCATGTACACTCTCCGGCTGCTTACAAAATTATTCTGGTAAAACCTCATCCTTTGTCATTGTTATCGAGGAAACTCAACAAAAACCCACTAACTATTCTTCTTGAGATGGCATTTGGAATGTGTCGGCAAAGCCTTCCATCGATATAAGCTATTAAACTCGACAATACGAACTTGCCCAGAGCTCCCTTTCTGCTAAGCTTTGCGTTACTCCCTTTTGAGGAAGTATCAATTGACTGATCACTGTCTCCACTTTCTGATTTCCTTTTCCATTTTATGCCCCCAATGACTTTGCCTGCTTGCTTCCTCAACGTGCGGATTACAAAGCTCACAAAGAGGTGTTCGCATAGAGTTAGCACTGTTGGACCGATTTTCCATTCCTGTGACAATGTTTTAGTTAGTTAGAAGAGAACCTAAACAAGAGACAGATGAATGTTTTATGGTCAAATAAACTATTGAAATCATGCTTCTTTGAGTTCAAGACCATCCAATGAAACAATAGAGAGAGAGAGAGAGAGAGAGAGAGAGAGAGAGAGAGAGAGAGAACATGTGACCCACCAGAGCAGGATATAATATCAAGGGCGATCTAATCCTTTCAACAGATGGTCAAGACCCCCACGGACTATAATATCCCAGTCCAGTTCACCCATGTAGACTCTCCTTTGTGGAAAGTCTTACAAAGAGAGTGAACAAGGATCTGATTTTTTTCTTTTTCGAGGATAAATTTACACTTACATTTTCTCCTCGCAAGAGACGCAAGGATCGAGAGGTTGTATGAGATGGGTCGCCTTTTAGTAGTGCCTCACTGATGAGGAAACTCTTCACATTTTTCATAATCTCATCAATTAGGGAACTGTTTGGGGGTAGATTTTTCAGGAGGACCTGTAGGATCAAGGACAATACTCGAATATAAAACTTTAAATCATTCACAATGTATATAATTGCAATATGGACAATCAAACTCTGTAGATAGCTGCTGTTTAGCATCTGACGAACAACAGTGGACAGTATGTTAAATTTCCATGCCCCATAAGGGTTGTTTTAATCATGTAGACGTTAATCTATAATCATGTAGACATTAATGTATAACAATAATGGACAAGTCATTACAATACAGAGTTTGCTGATGGTTAGCATCTGACGAACAGCAGTGGACAGTATCTTAAATTTCCATGCCCCATAAGGGGTGTTTTAATCATGTAGATGTTAATCTATACCAATAACAGATAAATCATTACGATTTTGTAATCAAATTAAAACAAAAAATTTAAAAAAAATGGAGAAATCATTATCTTTCCTCAACAAAACCTGGAGTTTAAACAAGATTTAGTGTGCAAATCAACCATTTCCTGGGTATGTGACTACCCAGCAATATAAGGAGCCCCAAACACTTTATAGTAAGTTCAGAACACAAATAGCATATTAAAGAAAGTTCAGCGCAACAAACTGGTATAACCCTCTTTTATTTCATGTGTATCAAATGGTGTTTTTTTAGAAGGAAAGGATTCCTGATCACATTCATACTCAAAAATTCAAACTACATCCAGGTAATTACAAACTTTATAAAAGCATGAACTAAAATTTAAGTATTGTTTTATGCTTCTGTTACCTGGTCATCGAAAACTTTGACTCTAAGATATTCTTGTTTATACAGCACATCCAGCATTGCCTGTAGGTAGCCTTCAATATATAACTGCATTTTGAAATTCAGAAGAGAATTGAACGACCATGAGCTTCAAGGCCCAATTGTATCTATATGCTGATGTGATTTTCTACCTATCCAATTGCAATGTTCTAGATACAAATGCTTATAATTTGAAACTGAAATTTGAGAAAATTTTAATATTATAAATGGAATCAAGTAACCAGAAAGTGCAGATGAAATGTTTCCATGCTGCACAAGGACTAGACTTAAATAGAAGATGGACCTAATAAAGACATGAAAAATACCACCTCATCAACCCCAGGGTTGCGATCAAGCTTGATCCTTCTATTTGGACCCCCTTCCATGACAGCAGCACCTAAAAGTGTCGGCTCCATAGCCAGCTTCAATATACCTTGGTGGAAACCAATCACCTAGGAGATATAATACAAATAAAAGAAAAAAGAGTTCAGATCAGATAAATAAGATAGTTGGATAACTCAAGATAGTTCTGTAAATACCATGCCATTAAAACCACTCGCTTCTGCCCCTTTCAAGACACTATCAGAGATTTCTGTAATTGCCGCAAATAGTAAATGCGATCCCGCCTTCTTTACCTGGAAACAGAAAACCACACAATTGAAGTATAGTTCCAATGCAGTCACAATCAAGACCAATTTATTGATATCCATTCAAAGTAAAAAGGACATACTGTTTTCCCCAAGTCTCCAAAGTAGCGCTTTGTTCCAGAGAATCCTTTGGTATTGATACACTTACTAACAAATCGAAACATACCTATCAACACCACTCAACATATTGAGTTACAATGAAAAGGATATGGGAGTTCTTGAGTTTCTCACTGAATGAAATCGGAGACCATTATTTCGCTTATTATCTTTTATATCACAGGTCACTCTTGTAATGCTGCTGGAAATTTAAGGAAAATGCATATTGATGTTGTTTATCGAGTTCCATAGTTTAATAATGAGCACTGACCACATCTAATAATTCAAAATAGAGATATTTAGCATTTATCCAGAGCATGCATAACCAATGCTTTAAAACTCGTCAGTGCTAAAATCGCAAGTCCCGAGTTGGCTTGCCGAGTTAGCATTTATCCAGAGTGAGTCAGCTCCGCAAGTCCTGAGTTGGCTTGCCGAGACTTGTCTGATTCCAAGAAAAACATGTAAAAAATCTCAAAAAGATGGAATATTAAGGAAACAATAAGAAATTATAATAAATTCTGAACATTTATATACAAAATGGAAAATGATGAAACCCAGATTTTTTTTATTGGAATTTGGATCTAGTTGATCCCAAGCTCTCCAAATTTTGTCAACCCCGATTTCATTATTCCAATCCCACAAATCAGATATCTGAGCGTTTCTTTCCTGATTCCATGGTTTGCATTTGGTAGACGACAAAAAAATAGGCTAGGGAAAACTTTTAGAGAGAATGAAGATAGGATTATCCCTTTCTTGAAAAAACTCATGCCAAAAAATATAAGAGTCACTCTAAAAGAGGTGATTATAAGAAAAACAGAAAATATTAAAAGAAATCAATCAAGTTATAATCCTAAAAAGGAATAATGAATCTTTACTCAATATGCTTAAACAAGAAATTTTAACCAAACAAATACAAGAAAATATCAGCAAACCCCGATCCAAGAGAAAATTGTATAATTTAAAATTAAACTTGAAAAACAAATTTGTGCTGAAATCCCAAATGCTTTTTGGGAGAGAAAAAACATATTGTTGAATTACCCTATGAACCTGATTTCAATGAAAAATTCATACCTACCAAATCTAGACCTATTCGAATGAATAGTCGTCTCTTAGAAATTTGTAAAAAAAAAATCCAAGATCTTCTTAATAAGAAACTAATTAGAAGTTCTTATTCACCCTGAAGTTGTCCAGCTTTTTATGTTGAAAAAAGCCTCTGAAAAAGAAAGAGTAGTTCCAAGACTTTTTTTTAATTATAAGCCTTTAAATAAAGCCTTGAGATGGATTAGATATCCAATCGCTAATAAGAGGGATTTACTTAATCGACTTTATGAAGCACAAATATTTTCAAAATTTGATATGAAATCTAGATTCTGGCAAATTCAAATTGCAGAAAAAGATAGATATAAAACTGCATTTACTGCACCATTTGGACACTATGAATGAAATGTAATGCCATTTGGATTAAAGAATGCTCCCTCTGAATTCCAACACATCATGAATGATATATTTACACCATTCACTCAATTTATGATTGTCTATATTGATGATGTGTTAGTTTATTTTGATTCAATAAAACAACATTGGAAACATCTCACAATCTTTTTGCAGGCAATTAAAAGTGCAGGACTAGTCTTGTCTGGAAAGAAAATCCAATTATTCCAAACAAAAATTTTTTAGGGCACAATATCCATAACCATTCTATCATTCCCATAGATAGGGCAATAAGTTTTGCACAACATTTTCCTAATGAAATCAAGGATAGAACCCAATTACAACGATTTCTGGGAAGTCTTAATTATATTTCTAACTTTTATAAAAATCTTGCAGAAGTCTGTGCTATACTTTATTACCGCCTAAAAAAGACTTCTCCAGAATGGAGGCAAGAACATACTTTAGCTGTTCACAAAATAAAACTGAAAGCAAAAGAATTACCATGCCTTGCAATTCCACATTTGAATTTGCCAAAATCCAGGTTTCATATCAAATTTTGAAAATATTTGTGCTTCATAAAGTCGATTAAGTAAATCCCTCTTATTAGAGATTGGATATCTGATCCATCTCAAGGCATTATTTAAAAGCTTAAAATTAATAAAAGGCCTTGGAACTCCTCTCTCTTTTTCAGAGGCTTTTTCAATATAAAAAGCTGGATAACTCCAGGGTGAATAAGAACTTCTAATTAGTTTCTTATTAAGAAGATCTTGGATTTCTTTTTTTACAAATTTCTAAGAGACGGCTATTCATTTGAATAGGTCTAGATTTGGTAGGTATGATTTTTTCATTGAAATCAGGTTCATAGGGTAATTCAACAATTTGTTTTTTTCTTTCCCAAAAAGTATTTGGGATTTCAGTACAAACTTCTTTTTTAAGATTATTTTTAAATTGTACAATTTTCTCTTGGATCGGGGGTTTGCTAATCTTTTATTGTCTTTGTTTGGTTAAAATTTCTTGTTTAAGCATATTGAGTAAAGATTCTTTATTCCTTTTTAGGATCATAACTTGATTGATTTCTTTTAATTTTGGTTTGTTAATAAATTCAAACTTGACTTTATGACCTTGGATCTCAAATTCAATTCCTGAGGAGTCTAAAGATTTTATGGGATAAAGAAGACTCAGGAAAGGAGTTCCTAAAATTATTTCCTGAGCTACACCTTTTGCCATAATAAATGGCATCAGGAAACAAGCTCCGTTGTTGCAAACTGCTGCTTCGGAAAGCTTATAGTTAATTAAAAGTCTTTTACCATTACCAGTATTTAAGACTTGGGTGGTCTTATCGAAGAATCGTGACGGAACAAGCCCTTCATTAATACAATTGAAATGAGCACCTGAATCAATAAGGGCTATAGCAGAAAAATTGTATTCTTTGGAAACAACTATTGTAACCTTGGTATGCCATTTTTGGGTAATAACTTTATTTATCATATTAATGTACTTTAGTTGTTTAAGATCAATTTTCTCTATTGTGTGAACAGCCTCATCTTGATTTTGTGTATTCTCAAATTCATTTATTAAACTCCCAGGTGATGCCAAAACAAGCAAAAAAGGGGAGTCCTGTTTAGATATTCTAAATCTCATAAGTCCTAGATTTTTATTTTTTATTTTATTTTTAATCCAAAGTTTGGATTTGATGGAGACAAAAATAGGTGTTGGGGGCAAATTTTCAGGGTGATTGGAGCTAAGGATTAGGGGGGAAAAGCAAGAAAAGCTGTCAAATTTCCACTCCCCTTTTCTTTTTGGTGTCCGACTTGGCGAGGACGCTCCCGAGTCTCTATTCGGGACTTGGTTGATTTGGTCTACAGTAGGGTCCAAGAGAGTTGGGGGTCCTCCGGAACCAACAGGCTGCTGCTTCCGAGTAACTTGTCTACGTCTAAGATGGACTCAGCAAGTTTCTAAACACAGATGAACACTATACACAAAAAGCCAGTAGGTCACAGTCACTAATTATTGTATGTATTTCTTCCTTGACCATAGTTGTTGGAAACGCCTGGGAACCCGAATCATTTTAGGAATCGGAATTGCGAAATCGCGACCAGATCGAAGATTCTTGTCTCGGGAATCGTTATCCGTATAATAGGAATCGCTAGGAACGAGATTCCTAGTTTTTGATAATCATGCTTTGACCGAAATAGATCCAAGTTTCATCCACATATGGAATCGAGATTTCGTCCTCTTTGGAATAGAGATTCCCATCCCCCTGGAATAAACACTCCAGGAGTCAAGATTCCATAATATGCGGAATCGAGTTTCCAACATCTATGGAATCGAGTTTCTGACATATGTGGAATAGAGATATGTTGATATTTCGAATCGTGATTCTAACATATTTAAAATCAAGTTTCTGAAGTATATGGATCAGAGATCCATGCTAGTTTGAGATCGAGATTTACAATATTATGGACTATGGAATGCATTTGACGACCCCTACCAGGAATCGAGATTTCGTTTTTATGGAGAAGGAAGCGACAAGTACATCTTGAGCCTTATCAACTTTAGAACCTATATTGGATGTTTCTTATTAGAAGGTTTCCCAAATTCTAAAGTGATTGTGTTGACTATTGAACTTACGGTCATTATATACAAAAGACAAGTATTTCTAAATTGTGATTTTGACTTCATTATTATAAAGACAAATAGGATTATATCTATGCCATGGTTTTACTTTTAATTGTATGTGTTGTATTTATCAATTATATTTGAAATTTAAAGTAAAGGCGATCCAGAGTGACACAAGTAAAGCAATGAAACCCCGCAACCACTAGAAGCATTCGAAGGAAGATTTCTACTCCAATTGACGTGGAATCAAGATTTAATCCTCACTGAAATTCATATTCGATTTATTTGGGAACGTCTACCCACAATTAATGGGTTCAAGTTTCTAAAGATGTGTTGGATCGAGATTCTGAAATTAAGGAATCGAGTTTCCTTGTTTCCGATAAATGGTTTATAAAGATGTGCTGAATCGAGATTCATAAATTAAGGAATCGAGTTTACTTGGTTCCGAAAAATGGTATCTAAAGATGCGTCGAATCGAGATTCTTAAATAAAGGAATCGAGTTTTCTTGGTTTCGAAAAATGGTTTATGTGGAGATTCCTTAACGGAAACGCAGAATCGGGTTTCGGAACCGGAAGTGCGAGGTCGGTAGAGAGATTCCGGTAACTATGTCCTTGACATAAGGCTTGTAGTCCCATGATATGCTTTAAACACACAGGTAGGTGACAGTAAGCTACCAAAGGATGTTACCTAAAGTGAGCCCTCCTAGATTAATGGATTTGCTTGATGGATCAAAGAAAAAATCAAGGGATGAAGATGCTGAGTCATCAAAGAGAGAAGCAAAAGCAGGCGGCAGCAGTGGACTTCCTTTCGCAATATATATGGCTCTCAAAGCATACCTATCACAAATTTCAGAATCAGAACAGAGAACTTGGGCTGAAGCATATTTCTTTTTGCAAATAGATGCAAAATAATGGAGCAAGCAATAAAATATATTGTAATATTACCATGAGTAGTGTCGAGCACATTTTACACGCAATTCACGCACTGTTACTAAAGCATGAGAAAGGAGGATACCGTTGAGCTCCACAACTATACCTTTTACGGTCGGGATCTGCAAAACCATATGTTAACAGAAAACAATAAAAGGGAATCGGGAAGAGTAATTCATTTTAGGGTCAGCATGCTATAATCCAATGGAGTATGTGACCTCTATTTTAGTAAAACTTAGGGAAATTATAAGAAATATACCTTTATTTTCACCTAATTGGAAAAAAAACCCTCAACTTTCATAAACCTCGTCCACACCTTTTTTTTTCTAAATTTTAACTGTTTTTTTTTACGAAAATAGCCTTCACGGCAGTCGCATTATCGTGAAGCCCTAGCATTATGGTACTTAATGACTAACCCGATTTTATATAGCATTTTAAATACTGCGATAGCTTGAAGTATTTTAAATGCCAAAAATGAGAAAAAATGGTGTGGACGAGGTTTATGAAAGTTGAGGGTTTTGTTCAAACTTATCAAAAATTAAAGTATATTTCTGATAATTTCCCTAAAACTTACTCCAAAGGGTATCCAACTTCCGCTCCTATTAACGGACAATGGAAAATTAAAAGTAATGGGATGCATTGTGAAATCACCCAATGGCAATTAACATCCATCCATTCTCATCGATAGACGAAGAGGATGCCCCTCTGAAGTACCATGCCATTTAATTATGCTTTCATATTCGTTCTGGTTAACTCAATAGAGAGCTGCTTTATTATGGAATCAGTTAATACCTTTGTCACAGTATGTAATAATGAGCGCAAGGTCTCTTGGGCTGAAGTATAACCTGCATGTGGAGACCCTGGAAGGAGGCTCGCTATGATCTTCATCATAAGTTTAGATGTGCCATAGAAGTCCAGAACCCAAGAACAAGAATATTAGCGACAAAAAAGTCATGCCCAAGCATAGTCCTGGAATCTCTAATGCTCACACAAACTACAATGACAAATACCTTAACTGGATGGATTTCAAAGTGTTTTAAGTAAATTTGCTGGCTGCCTGCCTTACTCTGACTATGTGAGGTTCGCCAAAATGGAACAAGCTTCATTAAAGTCTCCTCATCAAGATTCAAATCAATAGGCTGCCAGGACACATTAATCTAGACTTAATAGAATCTATCAGGTTACAACAAAATCTAATGAATATTGGCATAGAGAAAGCAAGCATACATACGTTGTCTATGCCATACAACACACAGGAAATCACTGTCTATATGGACAGCAGAGATAGACTGTTATTCAAGACCTTTGTACTATACAACATACACTTCATGTGGCTTCCCATACTAGTTTAATATGCTTTTAGAAATCTATAGACTAGTAGAGATATCATTATCTTCTATATTGTGACTATATAAGTAACTTCGACTAAAAGAAAGTTTCCTAAAAGGTCTATAGACTAGTAGAGATACCATTATCTTCTACATAGTGACTATATAAGTAAATTTGACAAAAGGAAAGGTTCCTAAAAGGTATGCAGTCTAGCAGTACCTGTAGAATAAAAGAAGAATATTTCACTTGCTTAATGCCAGAATCAGGTGAATACAGAACAAATTCAATCATAAGAATGTGATCATTCATGTCAATGCCCTCCTGTTGATTTCTCCGAAGCATTGCTGCAAAGGGAGCACCTTGCCATTTTTCGTCGACATTCAAAGACTGAGTCAAAAAGAAAGTTCCACAATTAGAAACAGCATATACAGAGATAATCATATCTAGAAACTTATGAGATATATTTAAGAAAAATCCAGAAATGTACTTGGCAAAGAAAAGTAGTACTTGTATTCTGATCTGACCCAATTTGTGCTGATCACTTAGGATACAATCAAGAATGGAACCTCCGAGCCTTGTAACTATAATCTCTGAATACATGGATGTCTCACTAGCATCATCATTCTTCTGCAGGTAAATGGTCAAATCGAGTTAGCAACACAAGGGCAACCATTAACATCATCACCATCAGCGCTTTTTCCTAACAATTTTAGGTTGGCCAATACAAGGGCAACCATTAGAGATTAAAAAGCTTGATAGCCCACAAATGATAAGTCTGTTGATCTTTGACCAATATTTTAAATATTTACATGCAAAAATATCCATGCATAAAACATGGACAACTGATGAGCCCTAATCCAATCCAGTCAAAATCTCAAAAATATATAACATAGGTTCAAGATTCATAAAAAGATTTGGCAAAGTTTTATGTTGGCTGCCCTACCTAACACAACCCCCCTCCTTTATCATGGTTCAAGTGGAAGGCTCTAAAAGAGCAAGGGAGGCCCAAAAGGATATATATCGTAGTGAGAAGAGATATGGTGAATTATGGTCTAACTGAGCATATGACCCTTGATAGAGCAAAATGACAGAAACGTGATTTGTGTAGCTGACCGTAAATAGTTGGGATAACGCTTGGATAATGATGATGATGATGATGATTTTGACAAGATCATATATAATATAAATTTTTACTCTCAAATTGATTATTCATGGCCTTTTGTAGACTTTGTAGACTTTGATTATTCATGGCCTTTTGTAGACTTTGTATGGGTTATAATATCCAAGAGGTTGTTAATTGTGTGTATAGTAAGCAAACAGTGAAAAGGATTTCCATACTGTGAACAGTGCCTTGAACAGTACCACAAACAGTAAAAAGTATCAAAACTAGAGAAAGGAAAAAAAAGACAAAAAGAAAGAGAAGAGAGAAAAGATGAAAGAGAATAGAGGAAAGAGGGACATGAGATTCAGTCACCCCATGCTCCATGCCCCAATAATATCTTTATTTATAATATTTATTGAGGGTTTACAAAGGACAAAAAATACCCACAATGAAAATAAGTATCCTCAAGTATATAAAAATGACATAAATGTCCCAATACACAAAACAAGTTATTCTTTAACACTCCCCCTCAAGCTGGAGAATAGATGTCACCCATGCCCAGCTTTGAACAAATTTGTGAGTCTGGTTTCAATTAAGCGCCTTGGTGAATATATCAGTCAATTGATCTGATGAGTCTAGATATGGTATTGTTACTTGCTTGCTGGTCACTTTCTCACAAATGAAGTGAAAATTCGCTTCAACATGTTTTGTTCTTTCATGAAAAACTGGATTGCTCGCAATATGAATGGCTGCCTAGTTGTTACAGAACATCTTCATTGGTTTAGTAATTGAAAAGCCCATTTCCTGCATCAAGGTTTTCAGCCTCATTAACTCACATGTAGTATGCGTCTTAGCTTTATATTCAGCCTCTGCACTAAATCGGGCCACCACATACTTTTTCCTGCTTTTCCAAGTCATCAAGTTTTTTTTAGAAATGTTAACTTAAAGGTGCAGTAGCTCATAGTAGATCTTCTATCTGGCGGCGATCTTATCCAAACAGCATCAGAATAACTCTCAATGTCAAAATGGCCATTCTTATTATAGATGAGTCCTCAGCCTGGGGGTCCCTTCAGTTATCTCAAAATTCTTCTTACTATTTCCCAATGTGGTGTTATGGGAAAATGCATAAATAGACTTACACCCACAACAAAGGCTATATTTGGTGTAGTTATTGTCTGGTACATAAGTCTACCTACAAGTCTTATATATCTGCCAGGATCCTCTAGAAAATCTCCTTGATCCACCAAAAGTTTGGAACTTGGATCTATAGGTCTATAAACCGTTTTAGCCCCTAACATCCTTGTTTCAGTTAGTAAATCAGTTACATATGTCCTTTTGGGATATACTAATACCATATTGTGATTGAACTACTTTGATCCCAAGAAAATACCTAGGTTGCCCCAACTCTTGTGTCTGAACATATTGTTGCAGATAATTCTTCTACTTCTAAGTTCCTTCATGATCACTGCCTGTAATAATAATATCATCAACATAAACAACCAAGATAATAGTTCTTGTGACTTGTTTTTGAATAAATACTGAATGATCCACATAGCTGCACCGAAACCCAAAGGTCATGACAAGTTTGTTGAATTTCTTAAACCATGCATGTGGTGACTGCTTTAGGCCATAAATTGCTTTCTTTAACTTGCATACCTTGTCTGACCCCGCCGAGCAACGAACCCCGGTAGTTCCATATAGACATTTACTTATAAATCCCCATGAAGGAAGGCATTCTTAACATCAAGTAGCCATAATAACCACCCCTTATTTGCTACCACAGACATAGCTACCCTAATTGAATTAAGTTTGGCCGCAAGAGCAATGTCTCAAAATAATTAATACCAAATGTCTAAATGAAAAATTGAAAAAGGTACAGACTCTCGTTTATTAATTCTAGAAGGAAAATAGGTTCTATGATGCTTTCCTAACTCACAAGCCTCACACTCAAAAGTTGACACTGACCCTAATCAAGGGACTAACATCTTCATATTATTGATAGATGGATGGCCAAGTCTGCAATACCATTGAAGAGGGGAAATAGTAGAATATATAGCAGCACCCACAAAGCTACAATTAAGATAGTAGAGCCCACCAGACTCATGACTGGCACGAATCATCTTTGTCATCTTTAAATCCTGAAAAACACAATATGAGAGATAGAAAGTCGTTGAACACTAAAGTGATTTAGTTAATTTAGTGACTGACAATAAGCTAAATGGTAACTTTGGAACAAAAAAAACAAAAGATAATGAGAGTGAAGAAGTAGGACACACAATGCTTCTACCAGATACACTAGATATAGAACCATCGGCTCGAGCGTCACTAGCAGTGCCATCTAGTTTACCGCGTGAAAAGAATATAGAGGAATCACCAGTCATATGATCAAAAGCTCATGAATCAATGGCCCAAGGAGAAGCCTTCTAAGATACAGCGAATGCATAAGTACCTGTACTAGCCATAGTAGCAATGGACGAGGAGGGATGAGTAGATGGCCGTTGGCTATTCTTGATTAACTTATTGTATTCTTTTTGTGAGAGCAACTCTGAGTCACTAGCAAAATGTAGAGTATAGTCATTGATAGTTGGAGCCAACTGGGTGCACAACACACACCTAGCTAGCCGATGTAGGCTTACCAAACTTATCCTAGTATTTTTCAGCGGTGTGATTTGTTCACCCACAATGGGTGCACTTGCTGCTGCGTAGACCTCTACCATGACCTCCCCTTGAAATACAACCACGTCCTCTATTTCCACCACCACGGCCTTTGCCATCACCTCTACCCATGGAGGAGGTTAAAGCAAACCCATCGCCAGTGCTAATAGCTGATGAAGAGGAAGATGTAACCTGTTGAAGGTGAGAGTATACATTACTGAGGGAGGGAAATTCACAGCTAGCTAAGATCTGCCTCCGAATAGCATGATACTCTAATGAAAGCCAAATAGGAATTTTATAACTCTAAATTCCTCTTTTTTCTTTTTAAGAAGTTCCATATCATTAGTTAGGGTTTGATAAATATTCAACCCTTCCCATATACCTCGAGGAGAACCATAACAATCACTAAGGCTTTTATTTCCTTACTGTAAAAGACATACTCTCATAAAGTTGATAAATCCAAAAAATATTTTTATTAGAGGAGTACATTTCCTTTTACAGCTTCTCACACTTATTTAGCAATATCATTGATCCTCACTCTTAATGCATGAGGATCAAAGGGTATTGGTGAAGGATGACGAGGTCAATGAAAGGTGGAGAATTTATTTTAAAATTTATTAAATGATGAACACAATGAGAACATAGTGGTAGAGGGGACTGTTGGTACAAGTGACGACGGACGACATAGATACATACATAGGATTAGGATGTCAAAAGTGAAGGAAGCTTTGAACAGGATGAAATTAGGAAACGCTTTAAGACCAGATGGTATCTCGATAGAGGTTTGGAAGTCCATGGGAGAAATTAGAATTGACTGGCTGATGAAGCTGTTAAACAAGGAGTTGAGAACAAAGAAAATGCCAGACGAATGGAGGAAAAGTATTGTGGTACCTATCTATAAGAAGAAATGAGACATACAAAATTGTGCATACTATCGAGGGATCAAGGTTATGAGCCATAATATAAAGCTCTGGGAGAGAGTCATTGAATAATAACTACGGCATAAAACGAGTGCATCTGAAAACCAATTTGGTTTTATGCCAGGAAAGACAACTGATTGACAAGTTTAGGCAACTGATTGACAAGTTTAGGATGAAGGGAAAAGACCTCCACATAGTCTTTATTGATCTAGAAAAAGCTTATGATAGAGTACCTTGAAATTTGATTTGGTGGGTGCTGGAAAAGAAAGGCATCTCTAGACACTACATCGACTTGGTGAGATATATGTATGATGGAATGTTAATTAGTGTATGAACTAGTGGAGAGACGAATGAGTTTTCAGTAGCAATAGGTTTACATCAAGGGTCAGCATTGAGCTCGTACCTCTTTGCCTAAGTTATGAACGACTTAACTAGCCACCAACAGGATGAGGTACAAGGGTGCATGTTGTTCGTAGATGACATAGTTTTGATTGATGATACCCGAAACGATGTCAACACAAAGTTAGAACTTTGAAGGAATGCACTAAAATCCAAAGGTTTTAAAATTAGTCAGACTAAGACAGAGTATATGAAGCGTAAGTTTAGTAATAATAAGAGTAGAGACGAGGAAGTAGTTAAGATTGACGGTCAGGAAGTACAAAAAAGACAACACTTTCGATAGTTTGGGTTAATAATCCCAGGAAAATGGAGAGATTGAGAAAGATATCGCACACAAAATTAGAGCTAAGTGGATGAAGTGGAGATGTGCAACTGGAAATTTATGTGATCACCACATACCAATGAGGCTGAAGGGCAAGTTCTATAAAACAATGGTGAGACCAGCTTTGCTCTATGGGGCGGAATGTTAGGCGGACAACAAGTAATATACCCATAGAACGAGTGTAGCGGAGATAAGGATGTTGAGATGGATTAGTGTCAAGATAAGAAGG